CGGTGGGGGGAGGAGTGGATGGGAGTTGAGAGTAGCTGTGGAAGACAGTGGTTAAAAAGGGATTTTTCCTTCATTCCTCTTCATCTTCTGGAAGTTGGTCTTTGTCACTCTTGCCAGGAGGGAGAAATTGAGATAGAAATGTGGGAGAGTCCACGGCCAGTGTGGCTTTCGCGGGTTCAAAGACTTGGAGGGAGGGCTGACTCACAAATGATACACACAGCACGGAATATTAATTTTTATAATTACCGGGGGAACCAGAGAATAACTCAACTAAAGAAGTCAAGTTCTCCCTGTTGCTCCTTTCCCAGCTGCTTTTATTAGCTAGAATACACAATTGCCTTTAGGAATGCAAACAGACATATCAATGGTAATGTTTAGCAAACAGTAAGATTGCCAGGTCTTGGGGGAGTTTGCTTTAGGCCATTGAGTCAGCAGCAGGTAATAAAATGTTGATATTAACCCTGTGAATATCAAAAGGAGTCCTGGTCAGCCTTCTGCCAGACTCCTCACATTTATATCAATTACTGTTGATCTTGGTTGTCAGCAGAAATGGATATCCTCCGGCCATGCAGCTAGGGTGGCAGTTCCTAGGTGGCAGCCATATGTAGTTAGTCCTACATACATCAAAGAGACTCCCAGCCTCTTTTTTCTATTTAAGTGTGGAGGAAAATTTATTAAGTTGGGAACATTCCTTTGTAGCAGAAGAGAGCAATCTATCATCACCAGAGAGGCTAAGGAAGCATGAGTTTGAAACTCAATTTGATAACAGTAATGATAACAATAAAATAGCTAACACTTTTTGAGAGAATGCTATGTGGCAGGCACCTAACTTTTCTTATCTTATTTAATCCTCACAGTATAATCAATATAAATGGAAGCCCTGAGCTCAAACCAAGCTGAGTTTAAAATCTTAGCCCTATTGAAAGATGTTTCACCTGAAGACTCCTGCTCTCAGATTTTGGACTTGCTTTTGCTAGCTCCTGCAATCAAATAGTTTACATTCAGGAAGAAATCTTCCAGGTAAAGGAAGAACAAGCAGATCAAGACGTGTAGCGCTGTGGCTGCTAAGGTATGATTTTTGACAGATTGTTAAATCAATCAGGGAAGACTATCCCTCAAAAGAGATCTTATGAGCATTAAAGGCCAAGTGTTGTGAGGAGAAACTGGATTTTAGGGCCATGTTGATGGATGAGGTGGTGCTGATAACTGACAAGGAAACCTGGGTCTGTGGATCAATGGAGAATTAATTCCTGCCCACCCCTAAGTGGTACTGAGAGTACCAACCCCTTAGTTGCAAAGTGATAGTGACATCACTGTTTTGTACCATCTAGAGATGAAATGCTGGTTGATGAATTGATCTCAAGCCATCATGAACTGTGTTAATAAATTCTGGACATTTTAAGATTTGGTTGGCCATGGTGTTCCTATCCCAGATACTTTCTCTTATAGTGGTCATGAAAATTTTTCTATGAAATTATTGATGAAGCAGAAGTACTGGAGGTACCATTAGTAGTAAAGAATACATGGGGTCAGGCAGTGCCCTCCCCCGATCTATCTCTTGCTTCAACAATGTTTGGACAGAATAAACCCAGGGACACCCCTTTTTCCAGCCTCCAACCACCGTCCAACCTCTTTTCTAGTCACCACCTTTGGAACCACCTCAGCCATCCTCAGCATCGGAGACCAGCCAACTCCGTTGTGTGTGTGTGTGTGTGTGTGTGTGTGTGTGTGTGTGTGTGTTTTAACCTTAACTCCTTATTGCCGACAAACTATGAACACCCAAATTTGCCAGAATAATTCCACCAAGGCGGAGGCTGCTGTCAACTGCCTGGCCAACCTGCATCCGTGGGCCTCCTACACTTAACCTCTCTCTGAGCTTCTCTTTCAATTGCAATGCTGTGGCTCTGAAGTGCATGGGCCACTTCTTCTACAAGTTGGCAGAGAAGAAGCGCAAGGGCGCTGAGCGTGTCTGAAAGTTGCAAAACCAGCGTGGTGGCTGCATTCTCTTCTAGGATGTGCTGAAGCCTTCCCAAGATGAGTGGGCAAAACTCAGGATGCCATGGAAGCTGCCATGGCCTTGGAGAGGAACCTGAACTAGGCCCTTTTGGGTCTGGATGCCCTGTGTTCTACCCGCACAGGCCCTTATTTCTGTGACTTCCTGGAGAACCACTTCCTGGATGAGGAGGTGAAACTCATCAAGAAGATGAGCAACACCTGACTAATCTCCACAGGCTGGCAAGCCCCCAGGTTGGGCTCAGCGAGTATCTCTTCAAAAGGCTCACCCTCAAGCATGACAAGCAACCTTTGAAGCCCAGAGGCCTTTGAGGGGCCCCTCTGCATTTCCCTGATGTCTAGTTTTAGCCTGAGCCTCTCCCCCAAACCACTAGCCATTCTTTTAACCACCCTGGAGCCTTCTCCCATGCATTGGACCAAATGGAAACAATAAAGCTTTTTGCAGCAAAAAAATAAATAAATAGAAAATAAAGAATACACAGGGTCATAGAGGCGAAGCTATTTTCTTAACTCGAGATAAGCACCATTTGACTGATTTATGTGGTTTTATTATCCATGTGGCTCCATACTTGTTCCAGAAGTATGCTAAAGTCTCATGGAAGGGGTGTACATGTCATTGTTGTGGGAGGCCGTGTGGTTGGCACTGTGGCATGTTGTTCAACAGACGGGATGATGTAAAGCAACTGGTCATTAGGTGGTGTGGGGATGATGTGCAAATTGAGTGAACAAGGGAAGCAGCCAGTTATCCAGATGTCTAATATTCTGGGGATGGATGTGTGTGGCGTTGACCTGTTGATGAAAGAGGATAGTGCCTTCTGTGTCTCTGATGCCAATGAAAATGTAGGTTTCATCACCTTTGATAAAGTTTGTAATCTAGATGTAGCTGGTATCATAGCAGATTATGCCACCTCCCTTCTGCCCTCTGGCCCGCTCATTGGGTGTATATCCTTGTTTGTGGTGTCATATCTTGCTGCTCTTCGTGGTGTCCCCAGCCAGTGAAATTAGTTAGAAGGAGCTGAGTCCCACAGCCAGCACTACTGCCAAAATGAGCGCAAGTTCCAGCTCTGCCAACAGCACCCCTGAAAGCACCAAGCTCCCAGGGGGCCTATTCAACATGAACCACCTGCTAGCCAATGAAATTGAACAGTGACTACATTGGTAAATAATTAATTACAACTAATTAATTACATAATATGACAAATAATAATAATAATTACAAAACCCTTGTAAAATTTGCTTTCTTTTTCTTCTTTGTTTTACTTATTAATTATTTTTTAACCAGCTTGCAATGCTGTTCATGGAAGATGCTCAGGAAGAAGAGAAAAAATTGAGTAGGATTAGTGAAGAAAGAAGAGGTCAGACAGAGGAGACCTCTGCTATTAAGATCTTACTGACTTCAGCCCTTGCCGGATAGCTCAGTTGGTTAGAGTGTTGTCCCAATATGCCAAAATTGTGGGTTCAATACCTGGTCATGGCACACACAAGAATCAACCAATGAATGCATTCATAAGTGGAACAACAAAATCTCTCTCTCTCTCTCTCTCTTTCTCTCTCTCTCTCAAATCAATAAAGCACACACACACACACACACACAGAGATCTTACTGACTTTTAAACAGCTAGGCAGAAGAGGTGAGGTACAGAAAAATGTCAGGCTCTCATAGTTACCCTTTTATTACTCAAAATTGTTTGTGCTCTCAGGCCATGAAGAACATATATAATTTTTTTCATGGTCTCTTGCTTTTGTTTTTGTACAGTGGGTATAAATTTCAGAGTAGCACAACTTCACATTGTGGTGAAAAGATGTGTAATGGGTGAGAAAAACATCTACCTAAGTTATAGGAATTTTTTATACAAGCCTG